TTTTTTTTAAGCTGAAAATACCCGCCAATCCTACCCCTTTGAAAAACATTTAAAAAATATATAGGTGTATATTAGGCACACTACCCAGCGTTTCAATCTTTGTTGTTGTGCCTAAAATACTGTCATACCTTTCCCCCAATCTTAATTCCTTTTCCTAGTGGCAAAAAAACCGGGGGAAATGCTTTGTGGGTTTTGTGTCGACCCTTTCCCTGCCCTGTTATTTGTTCCACTGAGGCAGCCGTCTCGATGGTATCTTCAGCTGGTGCTTTCCATGACTTTGTTCTTTTCAACCAGTCTCCTCTTAAATCTTTCAGACTACCATACAGCTGATGCCTTTCCTCATTGGTAACTCTCACATAGGTCTTGGCTTGTGTCAGTAACAGTCTAGACTTGCCCCCATGTACCCCAAAGCAAAATACCCATTTTTTAAACTGGGGTGCCCCGTGTGCACCCCAAGACAATTTCTTTCCCCTTCTTTAAAATCCCTTTTAAACTTTGTACAGTGAAGTAGTTGGGTTAAAATTCCCTCAGTTGAAATAAATACGTAAGGACCAAATGGTTAAAAAACAGACTATAATCTCTTTTTATGTGTTAGCCCCCATCATCTTCAGGCTGTCAGGCCCGTTTGCATTTGATCCAGTCTCTTCACGTGATATTTGGGGACAGACTGCGATCAAATGTTAAACTAATTTTTTTTAGCTTTTTCCTTTTTTAACATTAATACCCTTCCATTAACAGGCAAGTCTTCCTTGCAAGTTTCGGTACATTGCAAGTCTCGGCCATTGTGCCTCTCACCCGCTTCGATTTTTAGACTCATCTGCAATGTCCAAGTTTACTCTGGCAAGCGGCTAAATTTTTTCCTAGACTTCCTGTTAGTTAGTTATTTATTTTGCCTATTTTTACAGGACGTTGCAGAACCAAACCCTCGCTTTTTTTTTTTGGCTGTTTGGGGTTTATCTAGGTAAATTTACACAGTATTTTGCCATTGCTTTTTGATGGTCGGCTTCTGGTACCCTGTCGAAAAACCCAAAGCAAAGCACAAGGCCTCAGCTGGGAAACAACCCGTCACCCGGCATTAAAACCCCAAGGGCCCAAAAAAAGGGAAGGGGCCCGAAAATTAAAAGACTGACAAGGGACCCCGATAAGGTTTAAAAAACAAGGACCCCAAATTTCCCTGTTTAAAAAAAGAATACACTTTTTTCCAACTCTGCCCAAAACCAGTTAACCAACCCAAAGTTATACCCCCAAATTTCCCTCACGCACGGGATAACATATGTGAAGTCAACATAGTTATAGGTTAAATAACAGATTTTATTTATATATAATCATTCATAACTAACGAACTAATTTTAAAGTTACTTTTAAGTTATATTAATGTTACTTTAATGTTACGATAGACAAGGGCATCAACTTATTTCCGTCTGTGACTTTTCTGTGTGAGCAAGGAATATCCTGCTGTGTCGTTTTTTACTGTGGCGTCCTAGGGATTTGTAACTTCTGTTTAGAAAAAACCCCGCAGGTCTAAAAATTCTTTCTCATTCTTCCCCTAACAAGGAGATTGCTGAAAGGTCTACAACTTCTTCCCTTCTTTTCAAAACAAGGAGTGCTGACGGGTCTACAATTTTTCCCAAATTTCTTCACATAACAAGGAGTTTTCCGACATGGTTTAAAATTCTTCCTCTTCTTTCACATAAAAGGGAGTTTGCGAATGGTCTACAATTCTTCCTCATTCATTCCATTCAAGGAGGTTCCGACATGGTCTAAACTTTTCCCATTCATTCACATAAAAAGGGAGTTTGTGACAGGTTACAATTTTTCCCATTCTTCAATAACAGGGTTCTGACATGGCTACAACTTTTCCTCTCATTCACATAACAGGGAATTGGACAGGTCTCAACTTTCCTCTTCATTCACAAAACAAGGAGATGCCGCATGGCTAAAAATTCTTCCTCTTCATTCAAATAAAAAGGAGGTTGTGACATGGTCTACAACTTTTCCCCCTTCATTCACAAAAACAAGGAGATTGCCGCCCAGGGGGTCTAAAATTTTCCTCATTCTTTCCCCTAAAAAGGGAGGCTCCCAAACGGGGAAACAATGGTTGTTTTTTGTTGTTGTGTGGCTGGCACCTTTCTGTCTTTCTAGACGATAGTGTTATATTGTGTTATGAGGAGGCATAGAACACACAGCCCATGGTGACGGCGAGTGTGACAAGTAAGACGCGCTTACTTTTAAAAATGTCTTCCAAAATTTATACCCAAAAAGGATATGGGAAACCTTTTTTGTCAACATTTTTTATTTAGTCTTTTTTTTTCCCCGATTTCAGTGTCATCCTTTCGAAATAATTTTTTTTTCATTCACATTCCCTTTTGATTTACCTCTCCATGAAATATAGCCCATGGCATTACATTCCCACCTCAATGCCAGTATAATTCATGTCCCAAATGCACACATCTTTATATCGTAGTAGAGGTCAGGGGTGATATATGGTTTCCCTATTCTCATAGGTATTCAGTATAGGAAATACACAAGGAATTCAAACAGGTAAAATGCCAAGAATCGAACCTTCAGTTTGGCAAGACCTGGATTTTTGGACAGCAGCCGGTTCATGTCGTGATAGTTGGAGGTAGCACAAACCATCAGCCAAGTTTCTGTTCAGGGTTTAACTAGGTAGAATAGAGCAAAGATAGATCAAAATCTAGGCAAAATATAAGATTACCATCTAGATAAAATATTTTAATTTTTGGGAAAATCTAGGTAAAAATTAAAATTTGGTAAAAATATAAAAATGAACATTAAATGAAGTTAACATCTGTTAAAAAAAAATAAGAAAAATCTAAAGGGAAAGTTAATGGGGTTTTTTAAAAAAATATAAAAAAATCTAGGTAAAGTTTTAAAATCTTTGGGTTAAAAAAAAATTTTAAAAAACATCTAGGGGAATTTAAAAATCTAAAAGATTGCCCCATTTATCATCCAGGGGCCTTGGGGGACTGGGGATGGGCGAACAGCCTCTCCATAATCTGGATCTCCGGCCGCATGTATTAGTTGTGTGCCGACAAACCTCCAGCCATGCAACAAAACTGTCAAGAAACTTCTCTCGTTGTCTTCCTCTATCTCCCCTTTCCCCATATCTTTCCAGTGGTCCCCAACATTTTCTATTTCCCTTTCTCAAAACCATGGCCAAAAAAAATGATGAGTCTTTTCTGATGCCCTTTGATAATTGTTTTTGGGGGGCCCAGCCTCTTCAAAACCTTTTGGTTTCCCTTTTTTTTTGGCTGCCAAGGTATTAAAAAGCATTCTTCTTTTAAAACCCATCTCCGGGGCCCTCCGGGAATTTTTTGGCCTCCCTCCCGTTGTCCGGTTTCCCACGCCATATTTTAAAAAAGGGATATAGGTAGAAAGCAAGAATTTTTTTCTAACTTCAATGAAAAGGGATATTTTGGCCAAGATGTTTTTCATTTAAAAAATGCATTTTTTTGGGGGGTCCTATTCTTTTTCTTATCTCAGTTAGCATTCCACGGATGTTACCATGTGCCCAGATACTTAAATTTCATGTACTTGTCCTAAAAATAACACCATCAACTTTTATTACACCCTTAGGAAATAATTTGTTTCTTTGCTACCACCATTACTTCTGTCTTCCCATTACTCAAACGGTATAAGGCCCATTCTTCCACTTTCTATCACCACAATGTCTATCATTTCCTGTAGTTCTTTCTGACTTGTTGCTATCAAGACTGTGTCCTCAGCATAACGTAAATTATTTATAATTGTCCCCACCCAACCCACATTCCGGGCATACCAATTAAAGCTCTCATTATTATTCACTGTAATATTGAAAACAAATCAGGTGACAGTACACATCCTTGTCATACGCCCCTCTTTATGTTTTGATATGTACGTAAACAGTTGTTAATTCTTATAGCTGCTGTTTGCTGCCAATACATGTTCTTTATTATTCTTAGATCTTTCCATCAGTGTTTAATTTTTCTTACAGTTTGATTACTTCTTCATGCTTCACACAGTCAAACGCTTTAGTATAGTCTATGAAGCATATGTACAAATCAGTCTTTACTTCTATAGCTCTTTCTGAGATTGCTATTATACACGAAATATTGAAAAACCACGACCGGCACTGGGCTAAATCTGGTATCAGTGAGATGACAAAAGAAGAAGAAGAAGAACATCTAGGTAATATATAATATCATCAACATCTAGACAAAATATAACAAATTAACATCTATGTAAATTATAATACAATCAACATTTAGGTAACATATAACAAATTAACATGTAAGTAAAAAAAAAAAAGTAGTAAGATCCCTTTTCAAGCCATTCGGCGCATGGGCATAATGGCAGAGGGTCCCATATTTTACAGACCATCAGTAATCTATGGGTAATGTTCAGCATTACGCCGGCTTGCTTTACTTTCACCAGGACAGCCATCCATCCGGTACCATTTTAGGCTATGTAGATGCGAAGTTAAATAAAACACGCAAAATCAGTGGGTTCGATCTGGCATGCTGGCTTAACGGGATCGCACGCATTAGCCACGGACGCCGCTAAATTAACATGTAGATACAGTAAAATACAACCAAAATCAAGGTAACATATAACAAATTAACATGTAGATACAGTAAAATACAATCAACATCTAGGTAACATACAACAAATTAACATGTAGATACAGTTAAATACAATCAAAATCAAGGTAACATGTAACAAATTAACATGTAGATACAGTAAAATACAATCAACATCTAGGTAACATATAACAAATTAACATGTAGATACAGTAAAATATAATCAACATCTAGGTAACATGCAACAAATTATCATGTATATTAGTAAAATACAACCAAAATCAAGGTAACATTTAACAAATTAACATGTAGATACAGTAAAATACAACCAAAATTATTTACATTTTATTTATATAGATTTGTCATTTGGACATCAGTATTCCAGTTGTCAGCTTGTCTTTTAAATGTCAATACAGTAAAACCTCGTTAAAATGAATTCCAAGTACTGAAAATACGAGGGTTTATGATCAAATAAATGCATCCTTACAGGAAAACTAATAGATGTATTATGAACAATACATCTGCCAGGACCACTACTTTCTTCATGTTAGCTAAGTGTTCATATTAAGCTAGTTCATGTTAATAAGGTTTTACTGGTTATCAGTTCTCTATTATTACCCTCCTGCCATGCCTTTATAGGTCAAAAAGTCTATTCTTCCATTCTCTTCCATCCTCTTCATGTATCTAGAATCTGAACAATTGAACCACACCCCCAACGTCTGCAATACAATGATGTCCTAGTTAAAGGAAACATTCTATCCATGGATACAAATCAAACTACTCACATTCATGTAATAGTCGTGAGAGTTTTCATCATCTCCACCCTGAAAGAAACAAATCAATTCAAATCAAACATAACTGCAACAATTGTAGTTCTTTTCTTCTTCAGCTGCTGCTGCTTCTTCTGCTTCTCCTCCTGGGGTTTTACTTTGACTCCATTCTGTGACATTGTCTTTGATCAGCTCAACAACTAGGAGCCTCTGTGGTGTAGTGGCTAGACACTCACCTGTGGATGCACAGGTCACGAGTTCTGGCCCTGACAGAGCCTGACTTTAAATGACCTTGGCCCCCAGACTGACACAGCCCTACATGGGTAGCAGGTGACAATCATGAGAAGTGAAGGTGGCTCACACGGTGCTGACATCACCCACCGACTGCCAAGTGGTCTACAAAATATAGGACCAGTCCTGTATGTCCAGTACACATGAAGGTGTGAACATGGGGTCCTTCAGGTTACTGCTACCCCAACAACTGAGTTTGAAGTTTGAGGTTCCCATGTTCCCCATACTTGATGTCCAAGCTGAGATATTCATTTCTCCCTGTGTGAGTTCCTGAGTCCCTTTTATGAGGGAAACAAGCCCTGACCCTTCATAAGCTTGTCCTAAAAAGTGACAAACTGTTTGATGAATAGTGCTGATATCACAGCTAGCTGTAAACCACAACACAACATGCCAACAGCCTTTTTCTTCTTAGTGTTCACCGGATTAAACTTCAGAGGAAAGTTCTGGTTGTTCATCCCATTCTAGACTTTGGTCTTGCTCCACAACTTGAGTTTTGCATGCACTTCCATTTTACAAGTCTGGCTTATTTATATGCCGGCATCAACCCTGACTCTGAATGAAACTTTCAATGGTAAATACAGGCGATTATATCATCATGTAGCAGTTCCTTTGCAGATCGTCACTCTCATCACGATCTGACTGAAACAAACAAAAAAAAACTCGGTCTCTCACCAGCTCTCCTGCACTTTTATATTCAAGGAGTCATATATCTTGTGCCTATCTTGGTAGTGGTCAGCACCTGTCTATACTTCCTGACATCTGTCCTTTTTGCTATTATTGGTTTCCCAATCTGCTGTGGACCTTGATATGACCAAAATATTTCAGCTACCAGCACAATAGGCTGTTTATTAGCCAATCTTCTTTGATCATTTAGAACGTCAGTATTTCTTATACAGATGACGAAGAAGAATATTCACATCTGCCCATAATATAAAATTGTTGTTAAATGTGTCCTTTTTCTAAATCTTGCATTCTGAAACCACAGGTACAACGCTTATATAGTCTGCAATTAATCTCAAACTTCTCTCGTAGTCATACACTTTACCAATCTATTGTACTGAGGGTTACCATTTCTTTTCACAAAAGCTGAATATTCTTAAAGGACATATTTTACTGCCTGACTGTTCTATCTCTACAGACACAACATCCATCAACATCATTATTTAGTGGCAATGTGATTATACAGAATTAGATCAGTGCACCTACATGCCCATAGTTTGTGAGTTTGCAGAGTCAATTACAAGCGTAAAAGCATAACCTAAATGAATTGTGAGTCTCCTGACAGACAAGGTCATCAGCTCGAATCAATTTACTAAACTGTCCGTAACTTTCTTGACAGACAAGGTCACTGATTTGTTGAATTGCTTTTGATTTTACTGACACACAAGGTATCAATTTACTGAACTGTCCGTGACTTTCCTGACAGACAAGATCACCAATTTGTTGAATTGCTTTTGATTTTACTGACAAAGGACAACAACTTAGTGAATTGTTTGTGACCTCCCTGGCAGTCAAAGCTATTAACTTATTGAATTGCTAGTGACTTTTCTGATAGACAAGATCATCGACTTGCATTACTGATTTTGACTTTACTGACAGACAAGGGTATCTACTTACTAACTTGTATGGGATTTTAGAGTAAGATCAGTGTATTAACTTACAGACTTTACTAAGATGGATAATTGCATCAACTTACTGCATGTTTGTGATTTTACTGAGCTAAAAAAGTGCATCAACTTACTGCATGTTTGTGATTTTACTGAGCTAAACAAGTGAATCAACTTACTGCATGTTTGTGAGTTTTCTTGTTACCTCCACCAGACTTCAAGCGGTTGAGGTCTGACTCAGAGATGTTCTTGTTCAACAGTTTAATCTTGTCTTTCACACTGTCAATGGAAGTGTTAGCATCCTCATCCATGGAGGCTACACCGAATGTGCTGGATGAGACAGATTTCTGTGAGTTCTGTGAACATAACAGATATACCAAGAGATTCCCACATGCCAGTTGGCATAATTTGACAGTGATGAACGTAAAGATGATGATGATGATGATATGATGAGTAAATAAGGGTCAGGTTTCTATAGCATGATTGTCATACTGTCGCTGCCCTCTCACATCTTGGGAGAGGTGTGAACTCTGTCACTAAGCCGCACTGCCACCATCACATTCTCATTGGCTCTGGCCTTTAACAGCATAACTCCATCAGCAGTGTCGATATAATATATGTTGACCAAGTGTAAAATAATTTGGTCCAGTCCATTTCTTGATGTTGTCATCCAGGTTCTCTCCCCCCCCCCCCCCCCCCCCCACAATGTTCCCTGAAGTACAGTCTTTGCAACTGCATCATGTCTCACCACGCGCCTGAACTAAACTAGCTTGAGATGTTTCAACACTGCTGATGTCCTGCAGATTTCTTTACTTGGTCTCTTAGTTATTGCTTTCATTTATTTATTCCTGTAGCATACTCACGGGTGCAAACAAACATAAACAAAACAAATGTTCAGAAAAGCTAGCTATGTCTCCTTTACAGGACGTTACAGACAGACATAACCCCAGAATTTGTTCTTGACTGCTTAGTTTTTAAGACAATCTTATGTTGAGGAGTTTGCCATGGCTTCTGAATGATCAGCTCTCAGTAACAAAGCAGTCTGCTGCTAAATCACTTGTAGTTGGAACAGAACTGGGTATATTGGAATTATCTTCTTCTTCTTCTTCGCGGTCACCAGCTGTAAACTCTGGTGGAAAGTTCTGGTTGTTCATCCACTTCTGGACTGCAGTCCTGTTCCAAAACCTGAGTGTTGCATGTGCATCCATTTTACAGATCTGACTCATTTGTGTGCCTGCTGGTTCCTTGCATCTCAGGCAGATGTACTCCGACTTCGAAGGAAGCTCCCAATTAGTCGACTGTAATGACATGCTTTTGGGTAGGCAGTGGGTCTATTCTTGTTTTCCCTGAAATAGGGCCCTGGAACCCAAACGAGGATATTGGAATTATGTAATGGGTTCGCAGCGCTAAGCCACAAATGCCGACACAAGGAAATAATTTGTGCAGCTTGTTGTTTGTATCTTTTTTGTTTACAATGACAACACTGTTAGGACTTGTAAAATGCTACAGTATGTGAACTGAATGTTGCCTTGTCGAGAGTCCCAATTGTGGGAGTTGAGGCTGGTAAGGAATATTAAGAAAATAACAATTTAAAAAAAAAATTTTTTATTTTTCGAAAATATTCTGGTGCAACCAGGGGCTGAAGCTTTGGCTGAACAACTGTGTGACATGGGAGTAAAGCATAGTGAAGCCTGTCTTTTCCGCTTCCGAGGCTGAGATAGGAGACATTATGATCAACTCCTCATGGAAACAATCAGTAGAGGTACCTCAAAGTGGCTGCTGCATCGGAGGACTGAGCATGCATGGGAATGCCCAATGTGTGGTGGGGTCACTTTTTATAATATAAAATAATCTTTGCTTGTGGTGCTAATAAGCAAACACACACTATGGCTGATGTTCGTTAATGTTGGTAATGCTCTATAAAGTCCAAAGCATTGGCATTCAGGCTGTTAGAGCTTTGAACATGGTTTGTTTCCATGTGAAGTGAAGCTGGTGTAGAGACTTCCCCTTTCGACCAGACACAAAAGTATCATCTCCATGGGGACTGGTGTTAAGGACTTTACTTCCCCTCTCCAAACTCAGGCAGAGCAGTGGGTGCAAGACTGTTATCAGACCTTCAAAAAGACATTCTTCGATATAACTAGGTTATGGTTGACGACAGCACGTATGGACTGGCTGGGGTTGGTTGGTCATGTTTTAGGACAGCACATATGGACTGGCTGGGGTTGGTTGGTCATGTTTTAGGACAGGACATATGGACTGGCTAAGGCTACTCCTGGGTTGGTTGGTCATGTTTCAGGCACTGTTTTGAAGTATTTTATTGTCAGCAGATCCTAGCAAAGAAAACTGCCATGGTGTAGTAGCTACACGTTCATCTGTAGATTCAAAAGTTATGGGTTTGAATCCGAACAGAGTTGGATGGGTGTTTTTTTTTTTTTTTATGACCTTGGCTCCCAGATGGACCCGGCCTTTAATGGGTGCCAGGTAATGTCCTGGGAAGAAAAGATGGAAGGCGTGATGCTAACCAAATTATCAATGAGTGCCGACTGGTCTATAAAATACAGGCCTAGCCCTATATGCCTAGCATGCCTGAGAGCACAGAAAAGTGTCCTTAACTGTACTTTTTAGACCCAAGCGGATGCCTAGACACATTTTTAAACAGCAGTGCCAAAAAGGACTTACAGCGGACGTCATGGAAGTGCTGCTGGTCCATACTACTGCTATCCTCTGACATCTTGGGAGAGGCAGGAACTCTGTCACCCCGTCGCAATGCCACCGTCACATTCTCATCGGCTCTGGCCTTTGACATTGTACCTCCATCAGGGCTATCAGCTCCAGGTTCTACATAAACATATCAAGCAGGCAGAATAAACAAACTCATCTTCAGATTTAGATGCATCTGAGGTTAAGGGGTAACAGTGAAGATGATGATGGTAATAATGTTTGTAGTGTTTGTATATACATTTGTATGTCGTCATTTCCATGTGCAGTTTTCAGGGCCTCATTTAAAAGGTTGGGGGGAAGGGGAGGGGGGGGGGGGGATATCCCCATGGTCTCTCTAACAAACAGGTTGCAAAAGATGACTTACTGTTTTTTTCCCCTTTTAAAGAAAGTTGGGGTGCATCTGCCTGAGATTCAAGGAACAAACAGTCTGCATACAAATAAACCAGATTTGTATAACAGATATGCATGCAAAAAACAAGACCAAAGTGGACAAATGAGCCACATGTTGTGCTGGTGGTTACATCTGATGGGAACTAAGAAGAAGTATGTCTGCACTCAGAGATCTATGCATGCCTGCTGTATTCAATGACACAGCTCACATGTTGATTACCTACAGTTTTCTTTGTTGTCTTATATTTGTCAGAACCTGTTCATCTGTCAGTTGTGGAGTTCTACTACAGTGTTTCTCTGACAGTAAAAACTAACCTGGCGTGTGTGCTGCTGAACTTACTTTGCTATTCAAGTGTAACAGAGGTCAGAGATGTGCTCACCTTAGCCACTCTTAAAGGCACTAGATGATGATGATGGCAGAGACAAGTGCAAAAGGTCCAGCTACTGGGAGGATGTGAGACAAGTGTTTCTAGTTCATTGATGACTAATTCATTGTCGTTGTAATGTGTTCGTGCACAATAAAAAGACTGACTGCACTACAAGATCATACTTGGCGTGGTGTAGTATATGACAGTATCTGTAGACAATGTAAGTTATAGTGGTGTCCTGTTGTCGTCAGCCTCTTCTTGCTCTCCTGTAGGAACGCAATAGTCGTGTGAGGGAGTGATACTGCCTAAGAGTGCATCTAACACCTGGACAACAACAACAACAGAAACTCCCGTAGGATTTTTCAGGATGCTCTAAAAAAACCCAACCCTCAAACATTAGCCCTAGTTCAGATTTTCAACCAGACATATACATTCCATCGGTCCCTTGAAACACACAAAGGTAGCAGAATTATAAAGTAATGAATGCATAAAAAATAATATTAAATAACTGATAATACCAATGTCGATTCTGAACATGAAAACAATAAGACATCCCATGAAATAAGCCCTAGGTGTTGTTTGGAGCAAAAATTAATGTAAACCTTGGTCTTATGTTTGAAGAAACAGTGCTTCTTATCATTTTCACTAACATCTGCTCTTAAAAATGCATCAGTTAAACAACAAAAGAAAATCAATGAAGCTAGATACATACCAGATCCAAGGGTTGAAGTGGCACTTGGAGATTCTGCGTTAGCTGGTAGTGATGCCATGGAAGTCGCTGAAGCGGTCTAAGCCTTGAGAGTATTTCTTCTTCAGTACTAGAACCTTTTCACCCTGGCAATGGAAGACACCCACATGACATGAAAGGGAAGACAGAAATAAGACTTTTTTTTAAAGGGATATTTGAAAAGGTCAACTACAATAGGTCACATTGGGGTATATCAACTCAGTGCACAAATTCAGTATACAAGAAACATTACTGCAGAAAATACTATCACATAGCATATAACAGCAACAACAACAAAAGAATCATTGAAAGAAAGACAAGCAGATATCTGGGGCATCATCATCATCATGTAGCATGTCCTTTACTCTTCTGTGGGTAAGTTAAAGATAGTCTGATAGCAAATGGACTGTGAAATCTTAGGCCTTCACACATTCTAGGCCATGCCACATGAGGTGGGGTGTGAAATCTTAGGCATTCACACATTCTAGGCCCTGCTTCATGAGGTGGGGTGTTAAATCTTAGGCCTTCACATATTCTAGGCCATGCCTCATAAGGTGGGGTTTGAAATCTGAGGCCTTCACACATTCTAGGCCCTGTCTCATGAGGTGGGTGTGAAATCTGAGGCCTTCACACATTCCAGGTCATGCCTCATGAGGTGGGTGTGAAATCTTAGGCCTTCACACATTCTAGGCCGTGCCTCGTGAGGTGGGGTGTGAAATCTTAAACCTTTTCACATTCTAGACCATGTCTCATGAGGTGGGGTGTGAAATCGTAAGCCTTCACACATTCTAGACCATGTCTCATGAGGTGGGGTGTGAAATCGTAGGCCTTCACACATTCTAGGCCATGCCTTCATGAGGTGGGGTGTGAAATCTGAGGCCTTCACACATTCTAGGCCGTGCCTCGTGAGGTGGGGTGTGAAATCTTAGGCTTTCACACATTCCATGCCTCATAGGTGGCAATTTCCTTTCTTATTATCTGTCTTACCTGAAAATTCTGGAAATAGTCTGGCTGGGTCAGCCTTAGGATCAGGCAATTTCGCCACTTCATAAAGTTGTTGGCGTTTTTTTTAGGCAAATTTACATTTTTACATCTGTCTTAACAAATTTGATCCAAAATGCTTTCTGGAAATCGGCTTTCTTGATACCACTGTCAAAACCAACGCAAGGTGCATGGCCCGCAGCTGGGATTGAACCCGGCATCCCGGCATTACAAAGCGTTCGCATCGACTTAGCCACAGAGCCAAATACTTCATGAGTAAGTTTTCTAATTATGAAATTTTACCTGGCTAGCCGACTTGTTTTTTTCCAACTACTGAGGGATGTTTAATGTGAAAAATATTCACTTTTCGCTAAAAACCCAGGCAGACCAGGCTTCTGTTACACTGCTTCAGAATTGGAAGGGGGAAAAAACGAGGAGGTGGTTGAAAAGGGAAAAGTGGGGGGTAATCACTTTCGGTTTCTTCATCATCATCATCATCATCATAAGCCTTGCCAGCTTACATGTAAATCCACAGTTATCAGAGAACTTTGTCTCACCGCAATTATCAAAACTTTGTGTTCTCTATCCTATTTTCTAAATCTCCCTCTTCTACCACAGATTTTTCCCAACCTTGCAATATTCTCTGAATCTTCTCACCAAATCTTCAAAGAACAGTGTCTCTTTATTTTTATTTTTTTTTTTAAACTTCTTTACAGAGTAGGACAGGGGGAGAGTACTTGTCCGCAGATTTAGGGCCACATGGCTGGTGCCGTCTCTACTATGAACTGTCCAGGTTAGGGTGTTTATTTCTGCCTCTGACAGAAAAACTTACATTACTTTACCAAGGATTCGAACCTGTCTCATCTGTTTATTATAATTATGCTTATGTTCTACATTTATTAGCTTTCTCCTGGGCCAATTTTATATTAGGCCCTGATGACTGCTCTCAACAGGAGACAGCAATTATAATGTAGACTATCAAGTGTCAGGTCAATCTAGGGTAGAAGGTAGAGTAGTTAGGTTTCCACCTAACATGTAATATCATTATGTGGCTCCCACCTAACATGTAATATCAGTATGTGACTCCAACCTAACATGTAATATCATTATGTGGCTTCCACCTAACATGTAATATCATTATGTGGCTCCCACCTAACATGTAATATCAGTATGTGACTCCAACCTAACATGTAATTTCATTATGTGGTTTCCACCTAACATGTAATATCATTATGTGGCTTCCACCTAACATGTAATATCATTATGTGGCTCTTACCTAACATGTAATATCATTATGTGGCTCTTACCTAACATGTAATATCATTATGTGGCTTCCACCTAACATGTAATATCATTATGTGACTCCAACCTAACATGTAATATCATTATGTGACTCCAACCTAACATGTAATATCATTATGTGACTTCCACCTAACATGTAATATCATTATGTGACTCCCACCTAACATGTAATATCATTATGTGACTTCCACCTAACATGTAATATGTGACTTTATGTGATCTGGCTCCCCTAACATGTAATATCATTATGTGGCTCCCAGCTAACATGTAATATCATTATGTGACTCCCAGCCCATGTAATATCATTATGTGACTCCCAGCTAACATGTAATATCATTATGTGGCTCCCAGCTAACATGTAATATCATTATGTGGCTCCCAGCTAACATGTAATATCATTATGTGGCTCCCAGCTAACATGTAATATCATTATGTGACTCCCACCTAACATGTAATATCATTATGTGGCTCCCAGCTAACATGTAATATCATTATGTGGCTTCCAGCTAACATGTAATATCATGACTCCCACCTAACATGTTAATATGGCATTATGTCCCACCTAACATGTAATATCATAATGTGACTCCCACCTAACATGTAATATCATTATGTGACTCCCACCTAACATGTAATATCATTATGTGGCTCCCACTAACATGTAATATCATAACTCCCACCTAAATGTAATCATTATGTGACTCCCACCTAACATGTAATATCATTATGTGACTCCACCTAACATGTAATATCATTATGTGACTCCCACCTAACATTTAATACATTATGTGTATGTATATCATTATGTGACTCCCACCTAACATGTAATATCATTATGTGGCTCCCACCTAACATGTAATATCATTATGTGGCTCCCACCTAACATGTAATATCATTATGTGGCTCCCACCTAACATGTAATATCATTATGTGACTTCCACCTAACATGTAATATCATTATGTGACTCCCACCTAACATGTAATATCATTATGTGGCTCCCACCTAACATGTAATATCATTATGTGACTCCCACCTAACATGTAATATCATTATGTGGCTCCCAGCTAACATGTAATATCATTATGTGGCTCCCAGCTAACATGTAATATCATTATGTGACTCCCAGCTAACATGTAATATCATTATGTGACTTCCACCTAACATGTAATATCATTATGTGACTCCCAGCTAACATGTAATATCATTATGTGACTCCCACCTAACATGTAATATCATTAAGTGACTCCCACCTAACATGTAAAATCATTATGTGACTCCCACCTAACATGTAATATCATTATGTGACTCCCACCTAACATGTAATATCTTACGTACTTTTTATTATTGGCTACAGCATCCTCAAAAGACCAGGCTTCCCCAACATTAGGTTTCTTCAAAGTAATACACACATGTTTTTTGTCCCACTGATTATTTATAAATATTGGCATCTCCTGACAACCTTTTGGTTCTCAAAAATGTAACAATAGTCTCATTTCTAAACCCTTCCATCTGCCATACTTACATTCTCAGTCTTCAAAACAGCAAGCTCGTTAACAAAACCTTTAAACTTCTCTCTGTTGCTAACTGAAATCAAATAAAACCTGTATATGGGGGGCTGCCAATGAAAACCTAACAAGTGTGACAGAATGTTGAATGTCAAATTGAGAATCGACATCACAGCACTCAGGACCCCCCCATAAGCACTATGTCCCCATCTTCAGCAGCAAGCAAAGAGTTCAAATTCTGATGGCACCAGTAAATGTCTGACTGTATATCCATGTCGCCTTTCCCCTTGAGCGCAGGCCAGATCCCCCTGTTTAACTCCTCGCAGCGCCCTTCTCTCCAGATCGTAATGATCTGTCCGTGCCTCCGCCCTGTTAAATAGCTACCAAAGAGCCCTCACAACATCCAGCCTGTCATTTGTCAGTTCACCACCAAGCGGTGCAAAACCAGCCACTCTATCTGCCTGCTAATTTCCCTACACACCGGTATACCCTGGAGAAAATATCCAAAGTGAGATAGAAATTACAATAACCTTGCCACTGTCTTGTAATCAGTCAATATTGTTGTTTAGGATGTCAGGAGTCTTCACCTTCTTCTCTGTTCACCGGCTGTAAGCTCCAACAGAAAGTCCTGGTTGTTTGTCCATTTGGACTTCGTGCCAGGGCCTGAGTTTTGCATGTACATCCATTTTACTGACTTATTTGTGTGCAGTTGGTTGCTCCTTGCCACTCAGGCAGATGTACTCTGACTTCAAAGGAAGTCACCAATTAGTCGTCTCCTACGACATGCTGGTTGGGGAGGCAGTAGGGTTACCACCACAAAGGGAGACCCGGAGCCCATACGGGGAGATATGAGGAGTGTTAAGCATGTGACACCAAGGTGCAGATGCACATGATGATGTCATAATTACAGTTCAAAGATGTCCGCCCCACTTCTGACAAAGAGAAGCAGCATTCTGTTATTCATTTTAAATTGTATTCCTTATATAACTCATTTACTGCACAGTAACATGTGACTATGATTCTCTGATTCCTGAGAACCCCAACATCGGATATTATGTTGATTTATAAAAAATGTTTATACATATGACCAATGTCTGGCTTTTCAGTGCTCTTACAACTGTTGATACAAGCGGTTCTCCAGACATATCTCTTACAACAGTTAATACAAGCGGTTGTCCAGACATATCTCTTACAACAGTTAATACAAGCGGTTGTCCAGACATATCTCTTACAACAGTTAATACAAGCGGTTGTCCAGACATATCTCTTACAACAGTTAATACAAGCGGTTGTCCAGACATATCTCTTACAGCTGTTGATACAAGCGGTCCTCCAGACATATCTCTTACAACAGTTGATACAAGTGGTTCTCCAGACATATCTCTTACAACAGTTAATACAAGTGGTTGTCCAGACATATCTCTTACAACTGTTGATACAAGCGGTTCTCCAGACATATCTCTTACAACTGTTGATACAAGCGGTTCTCCAGACATATCTCTTACAACTGTTGATACAAGCGGTTCTCCAGACATATCTCTTACAACTGTTGATACAAGCGGTTGTCCAGACATATCTCTTACAACTGTTGATACAAGCTGTTCTCCAGACATATCTCTTACAGCTGTTGATACAAGCGGTTGCCTAGACATATCTCTTACAACTGTTGATACAAGCGGTTGCCCAGACATATCTCTTACAACAGTTAATACAAGCAGTTGTCCAGAGATATACTTAAGCTGTTGATACAAGCGGTTCTCCAGACATATCTCTTACAGCTGTTGATACAAGCGGTTCTCCAGACATATCTCTTACAACAGTTAATACAAGCAGTTGTCCAGAGATATCTCTTACAGCTGTTGATACAAGCAGACATATCTCTTACAACAGTTAATACAAGCGTTCTCCAGACATATCTCTTACAACAGTTAATACAAGCGGTTGTCCAGACATATCTCTTACAACTGTTGATACAAGCGGTTCTCCAGACATATCTCTTACAACTGTTGATACAAGCGGTTCTCCAGACATATCTCTTACAACTGTTGATACAAGCGGTTGTCCAGACATATCTCTTACAACTGTTGATACAAGCGGTTCTCCAGACATATCTCTTACAACTGTTGATACAAGCGGTTGTCCAGACATATCTCTTACAACTGTTGATACAAGCTGTTTGACATATCTCTTACAACTGTTGATACAAGCGGTTGTCCAGACATATCTCTTACAACTGTTGATACAAGCTGTTCTCCAGACATATCTCTTACAGCTGTTGATACAAGCGGTTGCCTAGACATATCTCTTACAACTGTTGATACAAGCGGTTGTCCAGACATATCTCTTACAACAGTTAATACAAGCAGTTGTCCAGAGATATCTCTTACAGCTGTTGATACAAGCGGTTCTCCAGACATATCTCTTACAACAGTTAATACAAGCAGTTCTCCAGACATATCTCTTACAACAGTTAATACAAGCGGTTGTCCAGACATATCTCTTACAACTGTTGATACAAGCGGTTCTCCAGACATATCTCTTACAACAGTTAATACAAGCGGTTCTCCAGACATATCTCTTACAACTGTTGATACAAGCGGTTGTCCAGACATATCTCTTACAACTGTTGATACAAGCGGTTCTCCAGGCATATCTCTTACAACTGTTGATACAAGCGGTTGTCCAGACATATCTCTTACAACTGTTGATACAAGTGGTTCTCCAGACATATCTCTTACAACTGTTGATACAAGCGGTTCTCCAGACATATCTCTTACAACAGTTAATACAAGCGGTTCTCCAGACATATCTCTTACAGCTGTTGATACAAGCGGTTGCCCAGACATATCTCTTACAGCTGTTGATACAAGCGGTTCTCCACACATATCTCTTACAACAGTTGAATACAAGCGGTATGTAACAATCTGCAACAGTCTCAATGGAGCGGTACTTTAGTGTCGAGGGCAGAAACTCTACACACCTCACTCTGATAGATGCAATCCCTTTCCGGGGCCTTAACTACTTAAATTAACTGGTAAAACTTTGAATCAATGCAATGTAAAGTCAAAATTGAAAGTCCGATTTGAATTCAAATTCAAACTTTTTCAAAAACAAAAATAACCCGGTCTTTTTACTTAGCATGTTAAGTTGAACAATCAGAGTCAACAAATCATCAATAATGAGTGCATACCTTTATTGACAGGGTGATTCAGGTAGTCCTTAAACTGGCTGACCAGTTTAGAGTTAAGGACCCGTCCTCCGTGTGATAGAATAAACTCTAGAACCGCCTCTACAGTCAGGTCGTCCATTGTCGTCTGCTGGCTACTTCCTTGTTTACACAGGAAGTTGTCGCTAGGACAGGGGCGGAGCAGACAAGGGGTTCATGAGGTGTGGGAGTCACAGGTGGGGTAGGGAGATCATCTTGTTGGGGTAAATGTCGGTGTGAACAGGAAATAAGACGTGTAAAGCGAGAATAGCATTTACACCAGCACTACTATCTTGGTACTGAAAATAAGGGTGGACCGCTTTTGGGGATATCTCGAGTGATGAGATGTCGGTTATTGACTCCATTCAAACAAACAGCGAACAAATGCTATTGGTCTGGGACGACTTTCAGGATGATATGCAATCATTTTGAAAAGTATGTGCATTTTTGAATTTCATTGCATGCTATTCAGCTGACCTTAGTGATTCTTTAAAAATTGGGCAGATTTATTATTAGATGCTATTATCTAGAGCTCTCCATGCACGAACTTACAACCACTCCACTTACCCATTGCTATCTACTACAGTTCCTTGCATCTCTTCCTTAAATTTCTACTTTCTCTACTGGAATAGTCTTCTTGGTTCACCTTCAAAATGATGAGCTACCCATGCGGAAATAGGCATTCATATCTCTCGGTTCTTACGTTTATGAATTTCATAACTAGTTCTCAATGTGAGGATACGGTCTCCTTCATTGTGTGTGCTAGATTGTCACTATTCGTTGCTTCCCTCTAGAGCTTCTGTAACACAGGGGGATTTGATTCAAAAACCGACATCACAGCACTCGGGGCATTCCCATAACTGCTCCGTCCCCATCTTCAGCAGCCAGGCAAAAGTTCCGATACTAATGGTGCCAGTAGCATTTTGATAAAACGTCCATCTTGCCTCTCCTCTGAGCCTCGAGCATCTGCCAGAACCTCTCATCACTCCCCCCTGCATCAATCTCACCAGACTGTGGTGATCCATCTGCTCCTCCGAACTGTACACGCTCTCCGAAAAGGCACTAACCACGTCTGCCTTATCATGCATCAGTATTTCACTAAGTTGTGCAGAGCCAGCCAGTCTGTCTGCCTGTTCATTTCCCAACACACCGGCAGCCCCGGTGAAAAAAAATCCAAACAATACTCCTTACCCGTGTCCTCCGCTGCGAAGCATGCCTGTCCTGATCTTTCTCAGCATGCTTTCTAAGTCAGTTACAATCACGATTTGTGTGTGTGTGTGTCGTGTTCTCTAACCAGCGGAAAGCTGCAGTGACCGCCTGCAATCCCCCATTCTTAAGCTGGATGCTGTGGTATCATATGCTAGGCTCTCCTGCACCAAAAGTCGACCATTAACTTTTGCTAAGAAGCCCCAAGCACTTCTTTTGCCTCTGGACACTGAACTGTCTATGTGAATGGTCGATTCCTCTGAGCAAGCATTATCTTTAATTGAATGCTGAATTTCCATCACCGTGGCACCTGCTGGCCAGTCTCTGCATCCCCGGCTCTGGGAGATACAATGACCTACTGTTTAACACAAAGCAAGATCCGCCCACGAAACCCGGAACTAGTTTAAAAAAAAAAAAAACTAGTTTAAACAAAGTAAAATAAATTTACTTTCTACTGCAGGACGCCATGCTGGTCATGAGGGGTATACGCCCAGTCTATAATTAGACAAATAAGTTAGTGTCGAGGTTTTCAGTCTAGCGGGTAGGCGCACTCGGAGTCATGTGATTATCGAGATACTCTCAAGTATCCTTGGATTAACAACGCATTCACTCAATGGTATTGATCACAGATAGGGTCCATTGCATTGTAGCAAGTGAGAACAACCTAGGAGGGTAAAGGTCATCGCTGTTAGCAACCGCAAGTTCAGACTGATTTTTCAACTCGCTACCCCCAATAAACGTGCCACGATTTTTATACAAAGTACCATTCAAGAAGTTTTAACATTATACGGTTTATGAAGAGGCTCTAAAGAACTTTGCTAGCGTACATGTTTCCTATATGGGTTGTACTGGTGGTCGCTGTAGGGCCCCTGTGGGTGTGTTGTTTTCCCCCATTGCCTCGACATCCGGACTGCCCTATACATGCTCAGTCTCCTTGAATTCTTAAAAGCAATATAAGTCCTATCTTGATAAATTGAAGTGAATCACGGACAGTTGGTAAATTAGTGAAAACGTATTTGGAAGCTGCGGTTTTAATCTACGTATGATGAGAATACCCCGATCAGATAAAAAGAGTAAAGAATTTGTCTTGACAGAAACTGACTCATGAAGAGAACTGCCCACACCAGAAAGAGAATCCACATTCTTTGGTCATGCGGTGAAAAGAAGAAAACTGGAGTACATCGTGACAGCAGGAAAGTTGGAGGGGAAGAGAGGCAGAGGAAGACTGAAAAAAAAGACATCATAGTATGGAGGATCATCAGAGTTAATTTAAAGCACCCGAGACAGACGGTTGAGGATCACCATGACGACAGACTTTTGAGGTTTTGTCTCTTCCTCAGCACGATTATGAAACCTAAAAGAATGGTGAGTTTTTTCTTCCTTTCTTAACCACTCACATGAGAATCGAACCCTAGGAACCACCAAGAATTACACCGTGAAGCAGTTTTGTCATGTGCCTTATGCATTTGGTGTGCGTGTAAGCTGTTGAAGTTTGTCCAACTGCTGTCGGACTTGTCACATAGGGCAGTGATGGACATTTTGAGTAGATTTCACTGGCACATGACTGGAGAAATTACTATGTGAACTGTTTGAGACGAAGCTTGAGTCCTGACTGTTAGCCAGTATTCTAAGCTATTAAATAGATGTCTAGTGTTTGTTCTTTACCGTTTCTCAGTGGTACTTGTTAAGAAGTTTGATACAGAAGAACGGCCTCAGAGGTTGCAGAATATTCTATGCACTCTTATCTTTTTTTCACTATATATTTTTCTGAAAGGGGAGGTTTAAAGAGCTATTTCATCAATGTTAATGTATGGAAGTGAATCCTGGACAACTGGCAGATTTGTGAAAAGTTATGTGAAACATGTGGCTACAGAAGAATGATGAGAACACTGTCCGTATGTATACAGTATCATGAATATGTCTTCAAAGAGAGAAATTTACAAGCCAACACAAACAAATTGTTAACCACAGAAGACAAACCACTTGCTTGTGACCGTCATGGATGGGGAAAACTAGAGTATGTGGAGACTGACATGTCATGGATGGGGAAAACTGAAGTATGTGGAGACTGACACATCATGGATGGGGAAAACTGAAGTATGTGGAGACTGTGACACGTCATGGATGGGGAAAACTGAAGTATGTGGAGACTGTGACACGTCATGGATGGGGAAAACTGAAGTATGTGGAGACTGTGACACGTCATGGATGGGGAAAACTGAAGTATGTGGAGACTGACACGTCATGGATGGGGAAAACTGATGTATGTGGAGACTGACACGTCATGAATGGGGAAAACTTCTATACGTGACATGTCAGGGATGAGGAAAACTTCTATACGTGACATGTCAGGGATGGGGAAAACTTCTATATGTGACATGTCAGGGATGGAGAAAACTGAAGTATGTGGAGACTGTGACATGTCATTAATGGAGAAAACTGAAGTATGTAGAGACTGTGACAGATGGGGGGAAATTAAGTATGTGGAGACTGCGACACGTCAGGGATGGGGAAAACATAATTCTGAATTTTGCCCAGTACTGACTGAGAATCCGGTGACCCCAGGAGCCATTTAATGGCAGTTAAAGCCAGCATGTTTATCATACAGATTTTTTAAAAAAAAAGTCAGCTGTTTTTAATAACCCAAAGACAAGTTATTACAAACTTCAGCAAGAGACAGTCTCATAATGTTATGACTACATCATTAGAAGATACAAGTTGGCATAAGTTATGACAATGAAAGATATATGGAAAAAGACAGAGGTAGACAAAAGATCAGATTCTGGACATGGTATAAGAGTGTCCGCACACAAAGTGGTGATACAGGCTGTTAGAGATCACAAGATGCTCACAAGCAGAATCACCCAGACCAGTTAGCATCAAAGGCAGCAGAGGCTACAAGTATACTGATTGTTCTACACACTAAGAAGGATTTTTTCAGGAGATATCTACAATGCAATAATGACAATCGGCAGTGAGTAGAACAAGTCCTGAAAATGAAGTTCCTTTTTGTGGCTACTATCCTGCACATGTTTATATGCTCGGTACATCTAACTAAGGAATTTGGAAAGTCATTCTCTTCACTACTTAACCAACAATGTACACCTGAAGAGTTATCTTTCGATCTCTGGGACTCCGAATTATTGACACTCAATGTGTCAACATCCATCCCGAACCTGGGAAACAAAGATGCTGAGCCCGCTTTAGTGAAGAAAGCACTCACAATGGAACACCTCAACAACATGTTCCCACAGGACAGCTGGACGAGAATCTACACGGATGGATCAGCAAAAGAGGCAACTACGAATGGTGGGGCAGGTGTTTACACCCAGATGCCACTACTGTGTCCCTAGCAGCCCCCACCGGACGAACTTGCTCTAACTACAAGGCAGAGCTCTCAGCCCTTTTGATGGCAGCGCAGTATATGAACAATCTGCAAATTACAGAAGGCAGGATAGTTTTTCTGACTGACTCACTGTCAGCTATACAGGCCCTAGAGTCCAAACCTACCGACAGCACACTACAAAGTCTAACACAGGAACTTGCTATGTTGTCAAATAAGGCATTCACTTGCAGTGGATTCCGTCTCACTGTGGCATCAAAGGCAATGAAAGCGCAGATGCTTTAGCCAAGGAAGGCAGTAACAAACCACAGACCTACCAGCCACTATCTTTTCTAGAAGTCAAAACTCTCATTAAGAGAAAATCAGAAACAGATTGGAAAACCAACACTGGTTATAACTACGGAAAAGATTTTCTAAAACACTTGAACAGAACAGACCAAGTCACAGTTTTTCGCTTACGCACTGGACACTGCAGACTCAATAAACACTCATATAAATTAGGTATGACCCAAACAGCTCTCTGCCAGTGCCTTCGTGCTGAACAGACTCCAGAA